GTGCCAACGTGTTCAGCCAAAAGTAAAAATTTTGTTTTTGAAATTTTCAAAAAACGCATTTTCAATCTCCGTCGTAATTAGGAGGTTCAAGTGCCAACGTGTTCAGCCAAAAGTAAAAATTTTGTTTTTGAAATTTTTTTAAAACGCCCCATCAATATATTTCGTAACATTTTTATTAGAAAATATAAAATGTTAAAAAAAAGTTTCCAAAGCAAATTTTTGTAATTAAAAACTTTCACAATTTCGTTTTTGAATTTTTTTAAAAACGCCAAATCAATATTTTATGAAAAATTTTTATTAGAAAATTGAAAATGTCTAAAAAAAGTTTCGAAAGCAAATTTTTGCAGTTAAAAACTTCCACAAAATATTTGTATAGTGCGTTCAAGTGACAAATTTTGGCTTAAAACTAACAAGAGTACAAACAGCTTTGTCACTTTTTAAGCTAAAATACAATACAACAACAATTTTATTATTTTTTTTTTTACCAATAACAAGATATTGTTTGCAATAATAATTAAGTTTATTCATACATATATACAACCAACATGTGCACATGAAAACATATGTTTAATTTATAACTATTCTTTTGCTTTTACTTTTTTCTCTCCCCTCCCACACACACACACACACTTCCGCACACGTTATGCTGCTTCAACAACAACAACAACAGAGCCAAACTAGTGACATCACACTCGCCAATCAGCAGGCGCAGGGCCTTATACGTCAAGCCGACGCACGCAATCGTCAGCTGATTGAACAGGATAACGCCGAATTGAATCGTTTGTGGAACGAATTGTTGAAAGGACTCGAGACTCGGCGCGATTCGTTGCAGAGCATTGCTGAACGTTGGGACGAATTTGAGAATCACTTGCATAGCTGGGAGAAGGCAATTAGCCGCTTGGAAGATAAATTCCGCAATGTCGACCCAGTAGTTAGGTCGCGACGTCATTTGGAAGATACAAAGAATGCCATCCAGGTAAGTGTCTATTAATAAATACTCGTACGTGTATAAACTTAAGGCTTAAGTGTTGAAGGAGGAAAGTAGAATATACAAGTATATAATATATATATATATATGTATGTATGTGTGTGTATACAATTAGAATCGTGTAAATTACTATATTTAGCATACACATTTGTTTGTTATTGATGATAAAATCGTTTGTATTATTAATCATTTTAATTAATTCAAAATGTTGCTTAATTGAAATAGAGTATGAGTGGCAATTACAAATATCAAATTAAATTTCAAGTATGGCAAGTATATACGAGGAATGTTCAGAAAATAACGGAAATTTTAAAAATTAAAATAAACTTTATTGCTTACTTTGTCTGTCGCAGCCGCTAAGGTTAGACGTGTTTTTATGAGCTTGGCGGTTTTCGTTGGTTGAAAGAAATAGATCAAGGAATTCGTTCGTAAATTCTTGACCAAAATAAAATAAAAAAACCGTAACGATTCCCTACATGGCTGGCTATTTCCAAAAATAAAGATAACTCTAATGGGCATAGATGAAAATCGCTGAAAGAGCTAAAGGCTATACACAAAATCGAGTTTGAGAAGTGTTCGACGATTGGAAATAGCACTGGCATAAGTGCATGTTATCGAATGGGGACTATTTTGAAGACGATAACATTAATGTGGACAAATAAATAATAATAATATTAAAAATAAAAATTCCGTTATATTTTGAACACACCTCGTATAGAAATCCAATATCTATATAATAGGGTGGAGCGAAAAAAAAATCTGTAGATTATAAAAAAAGAAAATATTAGGATAAAAAATTTTTTTTTTTAACATCTAGAGGCGGTGTTTTAAAGTAAATTTCGAGTTAAAATTTTTATTTCGTAAAAAATTTTTGATAAGTGTTCTAGAAGCTGTGGAGAGTCCTCTTTCTGGCCAATTAAAAGCTATCAACTTAAACAAATTGTTTGTGGTCATTATTGGAGTTTTAAAAAAAAGTCTTAAACGACAACATGCTTTCCTTAAGCGTTAAAATAAATTTTGAGTCGAAAACCGTCACATTCGATAATTCTTATATAAATGTAAAGAGCTTAAACCAAAAATAATTTTTTTTTGTCCAAAATAAATTTTATCTCGAAATTTACTTTAAAATTAAACTAAAGTGGCTTTATGACCTAGTGTGTTTGCGGTAAAACAGACGCGAACATTATTCTCGCACCATATGTCATTATTGCTAAAAGTAGTAGCAATTATCTACAAACTTTTCATATTTTATGCACACAAAGCCACAAAGTAAAGCTATCTCATATAACACCGGTGGGTAATTAAAATAAAACAAGAAACAGTTAGTAGAAAACTTACCACTTTACCGTTAGTTCTTTTTTTGTAAGCCACCTGTACAGTAGGCTAGCTGAAAGGTCATGGGCTTAAGAATAATTAAAAAGAAATGAGGTAAGACATTAATTAATGTAGTAACTGCTTTATCATGCGAGTGCACAATAATTTGAGGCTTTTTAGACTCATGAATTGTTGTTTTTTTTTGCCTTTACTCATTGCGTTTGCTAATGCGCTTAGCACTTTCTACTTACCATGGCAATACCGCTTTGAGTAATACAAGTTACTTTGAGAAGTCAGACCTAAAAGAAAAGAAGTGAGGCAGGTAGACTTAAGCTCGAGCAGTAAATACATAGTTATGTATGTATGTACTTATGTATGTATGTACATATATATAAATATACACTCGATCGTTACTAGTGTTTTTTTCTGTAAAATTTTTGGCTGTTAGAATATTTTTGCAGATGTTCTTCAGCAGTGTAGTCAGCAGCAAATAAAAAAGTAAAAACCTAGCAGGCAATTATCTAAAATGTTTCTTAGTTCCAATATTCAGAGTATCGTTTTATGCTTTGCATTCTTCATTCTTCACTCTTCTGAATAAATAACACTAAACACTTCCTATATCAATATAAATAATTTTTTGCTAAATAATAATAAATAAAAATATATTTTTTAATTTCAAACAACATTTTGCAACAAAAAGAAAAAACGCTATCTTCGGCTGCACCGAAGCTATAATATCCGTCACAGGTGCATTTCTTATAGCATAAAAGGATATAAAATGACCTTCATTTTGATTGATCAGTTCGTATGGCAGCTATATGCTGTAGTAGTCCGATATTAACAACTTCTAGATTGTACCGTTGCTTTAGATAATAATCCGTGCTAATTTTCGTGAAGATAAAGTTCAAATAAAAAAGTTTTCTATACAAGAACTTAATTTCGTTCGATCAGTTTGTATGGCAGCTATATGCTATAGTAGTGCAATCTGGAAAATTTCTTCAGATATTGTAGCGTTGCCTTAAAAAAATTATTTATTCCAAATTTCGTGAGTATACCTTGTCATTATAAAAAAGTTTTTCATGCAAGAACTTAATCCGATTTTGTCGGTTTCGACAAATGAGCAGTCTTTTGAGTAGAAAAGGACATGTGCAAAATTTCAGAGCGATTTCTTAAAAACTGGCGGAATAGTCGCGTATAAACAGACAGATTCAAATATTCATGCTGATCATTTATACATATATGTATGTATGTATGTATATATAAGGTCCTACTTCTTTTCCTTTTACAAATTTCGTGGCAAACTTAATACAAACTTGCACTACCTCAATAATAAATTATTCACATCGTTTTAGTATTTAGCATCGAATAATAATGTCAATAATCAGCTCTGCTAATTGAGCGTGAGTGTTGATTTATAGTTTTAATCTACTTTGATACCGTTACAAAAAAGTAGACTAGCTGATAAGACTGGCTATTTTCGATTTTACTAGAAAAACTATACTATGACACATTTAAAGAAAAATGTGGATAATGCTCAATTTGTTACTTGTAATTGTCACAGAATATAAATATAGGCATATATGCATGCCTTAGAATAGCAAACACAAGGTTGTTATACACACACATACATACAAAAGCACATCTAAAATGAATTTAAGGCAAACAACATTATATAAGTGGCGGTCTAGCAGCCAAATAAAAAAAGATTATATAAAGCTGAAATAAAAGAAAACGAACATAGTAAAAATAACAACAATGTATACATATACTATACATAGTACTTGTATATATGTGTATGCAAAACTCATCGTCCGTTTAGCTGAGCGATTTAGTAGACTTTGTGTTCAGCAGCACAATTGGAATTCGTCGTTAATCAAATTTATATTTAAGTTGTGACGTAATTCAGCTTAGCACACACACATACATATATATAAGTATATGTGTATAAGCTTAAGCTCGGATGGCATTTAACAGCGTTTCGAAAACTTGCTGCAAAGCGACACAAAAAAAACGCGAGAAATAACAAAGAAAACATGATGAAAAGGCAAAATAAAATTAAAATTAGCAGAAATTGTTATTTTTTTAACGAAAATGTGTGCATCGTTTCCAGCGGCGTTTTTTTTTGCTTATAAAGTAAATGTCAACATTGAAATTCCAGCAATTTCTGCTCAAATGCCAACTTGACTTAAATACAAGAGTTTATATAAAAGCACACAATTCGTACGTTTGTATGTATTTACATATGTGTGCATGCATCATATTACAAGTGTGATTATTTGGACTCAAGCGCCCCCAAACTGCATGCGAATACATACATACATATAGACATATAACCGAGAGCACGCGACACTTGTCGCCGACGCTCAACGCTTAGCTCAGCTTAGCTGGATATAGCAGCTAGGCCGGCGATTTTACAAAAAGGGGCTGTGGCTAAATATATGCATAATCGTGCATATTTGTGAGCGCTTATGGTAAACGTCCGCTGAAAATCAAGTTCATGGACAATGTCAATCAAGCGAGCGTACTTTAGTCAACTCACACATACACATACTTAGCTATATACTATATATGCATAGTATAATATCAGAAAAATATTTATGGCATGTATTGCATTAACCCGCTGTTGACGGCTTAGGCAAAGTGCATGCTACTAAATGTGTTGCTGTAATGATGTTGAAAACTTGTTTGTTTTAATTTTTCTTTTTTAGCTTTTTAAAGCCTTTTATATTAGGTTAGGTTAGATTAAATGTTCGTTTCTTAAAGGGATCTCATTAGGACAGTTTATAGCGCCGGTTCGTTGTGGTAACTAGAACTCCTATAAAAATGTATCATAAACACCCACATAAATCGACAAAGCGCTTTGAGCCGATTACAAATTTGTTGAGGCGGCTAATGTTAGTTTCTGCTATGTCTACTGGTTCGCCGAAGGTATGACTGCCGCAATATTTAGCCTCAGTCTTGTAAAAGCGGAACAATGTAGGATAAAGTGCTTTGATGTTTCCGCCTCAGCTTTTTCCATACAACTTTGACAGTTTAGGTACAACTTAGTAAGAAATCCTACGATTACGGCAAGATGAACTTTGCTAAGGGCACCCAGTTCAGTAGATCTTCTACTTTCTATTCGTACTATAAGCCAGAAGGATCTTGTAGTTGCACAGGAGCAGCACGTCGACCAACGTCTGCTAAGCGCATACGCAGTCCAGTGGTCCAGTGTTAGAGCGCAAGATGACAACGGGAATCCGACTCGTTTCCAATCCGATGTGCGCGGCGAACGGGTGTCTCGTCTTGCTAGCTCATCGGCTTTGCAGTTTCCAGCGACTCCGCTATGACCAGGTATCCCAACAAGTTTGATTATGTAGTAGCTTAATGCTATTTCTAGTTAGGACAGACACTCCTTGACTAACTTTGAGCGCACATTAAGCGAGCTCAATGCTAGTAGCGCCGCTCTGCTGTCGAAGTGAATACTTACCTCCCTGAAAGGAGCTGCAGTGCGGAGCAGTAAGTCTACAGCTACCTAAATAGTAGCCACTTCTGCTTGAAAAACACTACCTAGTTCGTTAGCTCAAAGCTAAGCTTGAGGGAGAACTCCTTACAGAAGACTCCCCCTCCAACCTTTTCTTCTACCTTCGACGCATCCGTCAAAAAGCTCACTGCCCCTCTTCTTCGGAAACTTCTCTCAGTCCACATATTCCTCATGGATATGTGAGCGGAAAAGCACCACCCAGGAGTAGGGTTAGGTTAAACCTTCTAACCGTTTTAAAATTATTCAAAGTCTATAGGTAATAGCTTCAATATAAGGTCTGATCGAATTGTGCCATGTAGGGTTAATGTAAGAAACAATTGGCATGCTAGTTAAGAATACGAAAAATATTCGAAATTATTAAAAATTTATTAAAAATAAAAAATTTCTCGCGTAAGCAAACCTAAAAGTCTGCGGCTAACATGATAATTAATCTCTGAGGTTGATATGCAGTCAAGCGAAGTTATTATAGTAGATATCAGCATACACGAAAAAACAGCCAGCTTGTTATATTGCTGGGAACAAATATTTATCGAATTAAGCTTAAAATTATTTTCATTTTTTGCTTTACTTTCAATTTCATTAAAATTCATTAGAACTAACTGGTTATAGTTATAAATTAGCCAAGCAAATGCTGAAGTAAATTTAAATATCGAAGAAAGACAAGGCAAAAGCACATGAAAAAATACAAAAAAAAAAAAGTGACGACAACAAATTCAGTCATGAATTCTGCTTTTGTTTTTTATTCACGTTTTTTTCATTTTATCTATGATGTTCGTTCCAACTTGTTGACTTCCTATTTCTGTTTGATTTTATGCCTTTCACGGTTATAACTATCGAGTAGTATGCGAATAAGGCATGCTGGATTTGTATTTGTAATGTTGTCCACTCAATAACCATTGAGAAATTGAAGTGGTTGCCGGCGCTTGTACGTTATCGTTGATAATAATTAACGTTTACATTTCGTTTTACATATTTTTTATAATAATTATACCATATACATATACTTGTACATACGTAACACTCATTTAAATTGGACGGGGTCGTTGATTTTAATAATTTTTAACTTCCTATTTTGATTACGAGCACTACTTCATAATGCTCATTCGATACTATAATTCTGTGACAAATAAAATTCCTAAAAAAATGGCTATACTCTGTAGCCTAGCCTTAGTTCTAGTGTGGCGTCAATAAAATTTTAGTTTTTGTAGCCTACAATTAAGCGAAATACTGAAAGAAGACTTCGATTCGCTACGTTTCTGCTCGTTATGTTAAGTTCTGCGCTCTTTAAAAGTATATGTAAAAGCAACGACAAAGTTATACATTTAATCGGTATATGCCGCTTGTTATATTACCATATATCCATGCTATTATGCCAGTCAATGTGATTTATACCAGTTGTTTGCTCAATTCGTCACTCTCCAAATAACTGGTATAATCGCTTGTTATTCTATCTGCCTACATTTATGCTAGTATATTTGATTTATACCAGTTGTATGTTCTAGCATTGACGAACGGCAGTAGACACAAATACGAGTAGACGATAAATAAAATCAGCTTTTAGCTGGCAGTAAATTGAAAAAAAAATTCATAAAATTTTTAATTCCCCAAAAGAAGACATACATTGTTAAGCTTTCGATTTTTTTGTTGCGTCTCGTTTTTAGTAAATAAATTCCAATATATATTTACCCATATATTTTGCGTACATGCGAGTCTATCATTCTACTAAGTCTAAACGGACGTCTATGGGGTATAGCTGCCATATAAATCGACCGATCAAAATCAAGTTTAAAATTTTTTTTTTATAAATGAAGAGTATTCTAGCTTCGGCGCAAGCGACATTAACATTTTTTTTGTTGTTATTTTTTTTTATATATATCTTTTTCAATAAACTTTCGATAAATATTGCTAGTTAGCTGGTTTGAGCTTGCTTGCGGGTGTTCTCGGACTCGGCAATCATTTTGTTTTCTTTTTGTTATTTTTGTATTTTAACTATAGCTGCTGTAGTGAGTTAAAAACGGTATATAATTATTAATGACAGTTAATGATGATGTTGAACAGTGCTACGAGAACGAAAAAATTACAGGATTTACGGTTCGCATACATTTGCATTTAATTTATTTTTATTTCTGAGGAGATCACGAAAAAATTAAACGAAAATAGTATACACGTATATTTACCTACATAATTATGACAAAAGTCAATAATATTAAAAAAAAAAACGTTTGTTAAATAACAGGTAATAATACAAATAAAAAAAAATTAAAAAATCCCAATTTATGTAAACAAATTATCTGCCTGAAATTGAATAAAATTTTTTTTTTCCGAATTTCGCAAACATGTGTAATGCGTCGAGCTATTTTAGTTTTTATGGTCAATCGAAAATGTTACAATGTCGTTGACATTCATTCAACACCTTATAAGCATGAAGCAGCGCTATATTATAAGTATGTGTATACATATACATATTTAAAAGCACATATCTACATACTTGCCTCAGATGTGTCACCGCGTTCAATGGCGAGATCTTGAGGCATATGACGTGCCCCACGAAAGAATTTTTCATTTCAATTTCAGCATTTCGGTTGCTAATGAGTATATGTATATGTATGTATATAACTTTACACATGTAAACTTCATTAACATATCGTATATAAGTATATGTGAACATGACTGAACAAGTGTTTAGTCATTTGTACATTCATTTTAGTTGTTGTAAATTATAAATTCATTTTAATAAGCACTCAATGAAAAATTGTTGCTATGACCGCATGTATAGCTGCTTTTACATATGAATATATATACATATATACTTGGGTTGATCTATGATATAGTCACGCAACACACATAATACTTACACAGCCATTAAGATAAATTATTGCAATTGCCAAAAAGCAAAAAATAAAATGATTACTTAATGAAAGAAGAAATAGGCTTGACCTGCTAAAAAAATGAAATGGAGTAGATTTGGCAATGCTTAAGATATCAATTACTTATAATGAGTAGTTTAGCAAATTATTTGTATGTATGTACATATATTATTTTTTTCAACAAAGGGTGTTTTTTAGTCATGTGGTTTTCAAGAAGAAAACGTTGTTAAATCGCACGATCTTTGAGGCCACGCCGCAGGCATACGACGCGTGATAATGCGCTCACAAAAAATTTCCTTCAATAAATTGATTGTTTCGTTGGCTGCACAATATGTAACGCTGTCTTGTTGAAACCAAAGGTCATCTACATCAACATCATGCAAAATGGGCAGCTTCATTTCTGAATCTCCTCTGCCCATAGAGCACACCAAATAGCGACTTTTTTAAGTATGTAATGGCGTCCCAACTTTTGCGTGTGATGGCGGACGCATCCATTTGGGTCTTCTTCGACACTCTGCTCCACAGCAGCAATAGCGTTGCCGGAGCACACTGTATAGCAGCTCTGAGGATGCACAATATCCACTAGAGTAAACGTAATGCGAAAATCATCATTGGTTGCTCGCATTCACGACTGTGCTGGGCGATTATGTCGACCGATTATGACATAGTTGTCAAAAAGACTAACTCTAAAAAAACAACATTGCCTCATTAAAAACCACACGTATACAAAGAACACCCGTTATTTTCTTGTTATTCATAATAAACTGAGTTTCAACTTTGTTAACGCTAATAAAAATTAGATATAACGGCGTAGATATAATATTTTTAATTGATCAGCCAATTGAAGATTCGATGAGAGCACAAGTCTGTGAAATCCCAATGACAGCTTTTATGTAATTTTTGCTGTCATTTCTCAGAAGTTTAGCGTGTATATAGCGGTAATTTTTTATAAAGAAATTTTTAAATATGATTTTTTTTTTTTAATTTCGTATATAACTGCGAATCAGAGGTGAATTTTATACGCTATTAGTCACGTGTTTAGCATATTCCTGAAAATTAGTGTCAACATTCTTCACATGCGCCATTTGATTAACACATCTTTGAGAATATATCTAAAGCATACATATGTATGTCTGAAAATAACGATTTATTATACCCAAACTACACATAAAGCCGAAGAATTTTGGAACTTTAAATTTTCAGATCGGATCCCTTGATAAGGAAAGTTATACAGAAACATTGTGCCAAAATAAGTTTATCTAAGCTTCAGACAACTTTACAGTTAATTTTGTGAATTAAATAAGAAAATTCACATATATGAAATAACCAGTATTTTACTAAAAATATACATACATAATTTTATTAACGTCTTTCGCTCGCCTTTATTTTTAGGAAATACTCGCCGAATCTGAAGAACTTAAATCATCACATAAAGAGATTGAGGCGCTCTCAAAATCAATCGTCACATTCCTTGGGGAAGTTCACCAACCCACATCGCAGGCCCTACAGGCCAAAGTGGATAACTTAGTACAGCAGCAAACAAAGTGAGTACCAGTAACATTATTTACTAAAATACCATAGGTCCGACTTATTTTTAACTTACCAGTATTTAACATATATAAAAAGATTTTAAAAATACTATACAACCGTTATAAAATACTAAAAATATAATATCTGATAAACCATGCGGTTTTTGTTTTCAAAATTCATACGTCAATTTGGTCAATTGCAAATTTTGAAAATATTTTGTGAAAAAATTCTGAAAATTAGAAAATGTACAATTTACAAGTTGTCTATAAACTAACTGATTTCCGGTCCCCAAACGTTTCTCTAATAGTCTCGACGGTATAAAAGTAAGCTTCATTTGACTTACATGTGAAATGCAACGTTGCCTATTTTCCTTCATTCTACTATGCCTATGACATTCTGAGAATTTTTAAATAAATCTGAGAACTGAATTTACACTTTGCGATTCTAAATGGCAAAAGCATACATTTTCATTCTAATGACAAACAAAATGCAACGAACGAGGTGAACGCCATGAAAATCGTAAGCTTCACGTCGCTAATCATTTCATTGCTGGATACACCCATACTTGCGGGCGCGTCACAAAGCGCTAAATAACGGAAATTCACACACCTAAGCGTAATTATTTTTTTCTATTTTATCTGCTGTAATTTATCGGAAGTGCCATCAGTGCCTACTTTTCCAAAAAATAGTTGTGCGTCACTGCTTTAGGCCTTCCAACCAGTTGCAGAATATTATGGAGCACATGCGTATCGCAACAGAAACCAAACGTTTGCGGTATTTCCATGTTCATGGTTTCATGCTCCAAAGATTTCACGCATTCATGTTGCATAACTACAGGTATGCTTGTAATTGCTACCGAAGTGTCTATGAGGCTTGCATGCATCGGATATTTGCAAGAAATATCACCACTTTGCTTTATGACAACACCTGATTACGCTAGTTAACCGATACTAACAGTTTTGCCGGTGGCGTTAGTGGCAACAAGGTCACAATTGCGGTTAGATCATCTCTTTCTCATTCACTCACTCACCCGCTGTTGGTGTTAATTACAATTACATATTTGTTTTGCGGTTTGGTTACCGATATGCCAGCCTGTCTGTGCGCCTTCAAGCGTTTACTGCCGGCTTCATTCAGAGCATTTATCGGGCATTTCAAGGCGACGCACAAATTGAATTAATTTGTGCACATTTGCAGACAAATGCGAAGAGAAAATGAAATGAAGTGCTTTTGTGTTTGCTATGCGATATTTAAAATATTCTGAGTAACTTCCGGATAGCAGATAGTTTTATTAGGTTAATTGCGGAGGCATTTGTAATGGCGGAGAGGCTGCATTACTAGACTAATTTCTTTAGCATAGTGTTGTGAATATGTGGCCACATTGCAGATTTGTCATGCGGAGTTGTGTTTTGCTGAAGTAGCAATATCTTCATACTATATTTTTACACTAAACAGGGTCTATAAAGTTTGTCACGATGTTTGCAATGCCCAGAAGAAAACGTCGGATACTCTATTAAGTATATACATACATAAATGATCAGCGTAACAAGCTGTTTCGATTTCACCATGTCTGTCTGCATATACGCGAACTAGTTCACCAATTTTTTTCTCCCCAAGAAGCAGCGCGTGTCGGAACCGCTGATATCAGAGCACTATGTATGGACTAATTTTTTATTAGATAAAATATCTTCACGAAATTTGGCATAAGTTACTGTTTAAAGTAACCATACAATCTCCGAAGGAATTGTTCAGATCGGACCACTATAACATATAGCTGTCATACAAACTGATCGATCAAAGTCAAGTTCTTGTATAGAAAACTTTTTTATTTGACAAGATATCTTCACGAAATTTCATGCGTTTTATTGCCCAAATCAATGCTACAATTTACGAAGAAATTGTTTAGATCGAATCACAATAGCATACAGCTGTCATACAAACTAACCGATCAGAATTAAGTCTTTGTATGAAAAACTTTTTTTATTTACCAAGTTATCTTTACGAAATTTGGTATGAATCATTAACCAATACGGCAGTATTTTCTCCAAAAATATAATATTATTCAGATGGAACCGTTATATCATATATCTGCCATACAAACTGACCGATCAAAATCAAAAAACTTGAATTATTCAGTGTGAAGTAAAGACCAGTAAAACTTAAATTTGTTGTTGTGTTCTCAGTCTTGTTACCGTGAACTATGCGGAATTCTACTTCTTCTAAAAAAAAAAAAATGACTTGTCATTTCCTGCAACTCACATTGTGCTAAATGAAAACTGTGCCACTAAAAGCAAGTAATTACTTATGTTATTAACTGAAATGATAATATTTGTAGATATTTCCCCTTGTTTATGCTTTTTATTTAATTGCCCACTCAGTGATTGAGCGCAGTCAGTCATTCAATTATCTGTGGTCTGATAACGTTAATTCGATTTGTTTATTTTAATTTGATATCTCTGCTGTCATTGTTGCGGTTCTCCAACATTTTGCATTGTAATTTAGTACATGTGAATGCGGCTTGTCAGCGTAATTTCAGTTACTACGATGTGCACATTTATTTATAGTGACAGCGCTAAAAATGTGTGAAATAAATAATAGATTGTGTTTTCCGAAGCGTTTTGGTTGCGCGTGAAAATTTTCCAATCACGTGCAATTTCGCAAATCACAAGAACTCAATTATTCTTGTTCTCAGCGTAAAGTAAACAATGGGAAAAGCTATGCGTTAGACGATGTCTATATTTGCGTTGTGACGTCATGCTATGCCAAAAAAACAAGAAATAAATTTAGTTATAAGGAAAACACAATTCACTGTGTAGAAAATTGTGCTGACGCTTGCGGCAACATTGTTTGGCAACATGCTGCGCTGCAACATGTCAGCACGAACAAAAGCTTTTTCACATGCCAGCTGCCTTTTTCTCTCTTTATCTCACCGAATTTACGTGCTCTTACGCGCTCATAACTCGCTGCTCACAAAGCTGCTCGTTTCCGTTTCCTTTTCATATCGTTTTACGATAAAATGCTTTTGTTGTTACATTTTTTGCTTGCTGCGCGAAACTCACCACACTAGCAACATTGCTGCGTTGGTGTTACAGTGTAGATACAAAATAGCAACACTGCAAGCTTAAGCAAACAACAAAGGACGTTTATGCCAACGAATATATTAATTTTGTGGCTTTCTGTGTTTTTATTTTTCAAATATATTTTTGTTTATTTTCTTGATGGCCAAAAACAAATACAACAAACAAACAAATTGAAGGCATTAGTGTTATGTTGAAGTTTTCTTTTAAGTTCTATTTGAGCTATGTGTTGACAGCTGTAAAGTAATGGATTGCATTCTTCATGTATTATGGTATATGTGTCTTGTTGTTGTTTTGACTGGATATATTTGTTGGAGAGCATTTTTAGACATTTTTAGTGCGGTTTTAATGGCAGACAAATTGCTTTCTATTTTGGTGTCGTGAGTGTTTTGTTACATATGTGTGCGCATTTGTAATGCTCAATGAGTTCATAGTTTTATTTAAAATTTAAAAAAATTTTGTTTTTTGTAACTTTGGTTTTTTTCGTTAAGTTGTGAGGAGTTTTTTTTTATTTTTGTTTTTCTATTTCGTTTAGCTATTAAGAAAATTTAATACTACGTTCTCCAGTTGTTGTGCTTTTCAATAATTACTTTAGAGAAATGCTTAAATGACATTTATTGAGTGATTTCACATTGCTGACACGCACCACTGTCAAAATTCGTGTATTTAAAATTTTTTCCTGAAACGTGAATGAATGCTGTCATCTCAGACAGCAGATTCAAAGCAATGAGAGCCGCTGTCGTTTATTTCATTCTAGCGCAATTTGTTTTTTTTTTTAAGTTGAAATATTGAATAATTTTGTAAATTTTTGTATCGAAGATTTTGCCTAATAAATTTTGTATTAATTATTACTTATATAAAGTAGTCGAAACATTTGTTTTCATTGCCTGCCTCTCTGTACTCTTTACCTAAATATGTTGGTAAAAAAGCACTGAACTTTATTATTCAAAATACTATTCACTTCATTTTTTTGCTTTGTTATTGAAGTGTTTTGCATATTTCTCCGAAATTTAGCATATTCAACGGGCTTTCAAGTCTGAGTAATAGAAATGAAAGTATAGATTTTGTTGCTATTAGACATTAGACTTAAAGTCAGCAGTGCTCAAACGCAAAAAAAAAAAACAAGAAAAACTATTATATCCCTCACAGCTGCATATTTTATAGCATAAAAGGGTATAAAAAGATCTTTGTCTTAATTTTGATCGCTCAGTTTGTATAGCAGCTATATGCTATAGTGATGCGATCTACAAAAATTCTTCAGACATTGTAGCGTTGTCTTAAGAAATTAACTATTTCAAATTTCGTGATGATATCTTATCAAATAAAAAATGACAAATGAGCAGCTTATTAGGGAGAGAAAGAGTTGTGCAAGATTTCAGATCGATTGTGTATATAAACACGGACGGACTGACGGATATGGCTAAATCGACTTGGCGGTCTCGACCTTTTCTTTTGTGTGTTAGAAACCTAATATACGCTGTTTGGAATTTTTTTATACTCATCTCAAGCAAGAACTATATTTCTTCCCATACTCTTTATTGTTTGACTTGAAGATTATACCACGGTATTTTTAAAGTCTCTTAGTTTATCCAAAAATATTAATTAGTCAAAATCTGCGCAGAAAGCAATAATATGTTTCAAAATAAACCAGCACTTTTTTATTTCAACAGTTCTCAATGAAACACTGTACAACTTAGTTCTGCTTTGTGCAGCTAATGTAAACTTCTTTACGGTATTTATGTATGTACTTGCTTTTGTATTTGTTGTGCACCGGTTCTAATATGATTATTTATACAATTTACTTAGAATTTCAGACCATAAGCAAATCACATTTATAGCAGAGCTTATTTATTTATTGTATATACAAAGTAATTCCAATGCTTTGCGAATACGCACACTATGATACCTTTCCTTCAACCGGCAATTGTTTGAAAACGTGC